CTTCGGCGCACAGGGATTTCTGTCCGAGGAGGTGCTGGGCCGCGATGCAAGGACCGTTCTTGCTTCCTCTGCATTAGGCAGTAAAGATTTAGTGAAGCGATTTCCATATGCAGCTGTACTGGTCTGAAAAAATTACACTGAAATAGTGCACTAAATTATATTGACAAGATAAATCATCTTTGCATGCTGCACGTGCTGGCTGGCTGGGCTTTTTTCCTTGAACAAAGCACTATTCTGCAAAGCTAATGAATATGTGGGAACGTTTCCAAGGGCAGAAAAAGCAACGGAGTTTTGTGGCAGCTTTTTTTACTGTATATTTTGTTTTTATTATTAACATTAGAGCTGCTCCATTTGCATTCATGAAGACAATCATATAGATGGCAAGACCACAGGTATAGTAAATAAACTCAAATGCACTACATAAAAAGCAGTGATGTTCCCAGCTGGTGCTTCTAAAATGACCATTCGAGTTGACTCCAACAGTGATGCCTCCACTGCCATATGGGTTTTCTAATACCGGACACAGCGCTCACTTGCTAAATTCTCCCAAAGCCAGTAAATTGCCACGGTTAAATCACATCACATCACATCTGCTTACTGACTTAGTTTGGTCTGAAGCAAAATTACAGCCTGGGATCTCACTAACATTTTATCACAGAAGAAAAAGGAGTGTTGAAGATAAATCTAAAAGAGGAGACATCCAGGAGATGTGGAACAAAGGAACGCAAAATTATCTACTTAAACTGGAAGTTGGTTTTAATTCAGTTTAACCAAACTCATAAGCAGCAAATTCTTATCCTCATTAAACAAAGGAACCAGCATTATTTTAAGGGTTAAGGGTTACTCACACAATGAGGCTCTTAAGATAATTACTGACTCTCTTTTTGAAAGTCTGGTGATTTGTAAGAGAGCAATAAACCACATAATATATATCATTAGAAATGAAGACGTACATTTAAAACTGCCAAGAAACAGAACTGCTAAATGCAGATTCTTCTGTCATTTAAAATCATTCCTGTGCAAAGAAAAACATATTGGACCCCAGCCTGTGATCGGCTGCTTTTATGGTTACACCTTACATTTCCCCTCAGTTTTTATCACACAAATGACTATTGTCACAACACATTTTATCTCCAGTTCTCTTCCTAAATTAAAATTTGAGGAACTCCAATGCAACAGAAGGCTCAATTATTTTTTAAAAAATCATGTTAATCTTTCTCTTTCCTTTTAGATGTAATCACAGTTTGCCTTACTCAGCCTTTGATGCTTATAGGCAAAACTACAGTAAGGAAAAAGGAGCAAGAATTAAATTTTCGCTCAAGTTTTTAACGAACAATTGAAAACAAGTTGAGAATAGAAAATAAATCGCAGGCAAAATTGCCTTGATGTTTCTAGAGCATAGAGAAGGCCTCTTCAGATCCTTACTCTGATTTTATTTTTTATTGTTTTGATTGTTCCTTTTTCAGCACTGCCGGTCTCCAACTGCCCCATCTACTGGCAGCAGAGCACGCCTGCTGCATGAACACAGGAGTGACCTGATACAGAGCTGAGAGTAAGATCTAACGGTAAGCCAAGAGAAATACAGAAAATGGAAGAAAAAAATCAAGCATTTTCCAGATATATTTAACACTGTACAAGGTATCTAATTACACACCTATAGACATCAACCCAACACCTGCTCTTTTGTTGATGAGCTGTTTAGTAAGCATTTAATGATTCGTTAGTGGTTCTTGTCTTTAGTTGCAAGTTCCAGGACTCGAAGGAGCTCCTCTCCATCAATTTGCAGGCATTTTAGAGTCTGGTTGAAGAACATTCAGCAAGTATAAACAGATGAAGGTGAACCACGGCGGGGTTAAGCTACAGAAAGGAAGCTCTGGCCATCCAGTTTTCTTCAAAGTCTTCAATACCTCGAGCACTGAGACAGAGCTTGTCTTTCCCCCACAAATCTTCTATTAGGTAAATTAGTATCTCAGCAGAGATATTTCTCAGAGAGAAATAACAAAAAGATGACTCCACCCATCCTATTTCAATACTCTGTGCAGAAGAGAAAGATGCCTCCATGCAGACTTGTATTAGTCCTTCTCCACTGCAGGGAGAGGAGAAAATAGGGGGGGAAGGTTTGTGAAGCCATATGACAACCTGCACCAGCAATTTAACTTCTGTTACTTTTGCTGATCACAGCAATAAGAGAAACCCCAAAAGCACTATAGTTACTCTGTATATAATCCAGCATGCCCAATGCCACACAATAGCCACTATAGCAAAATCCTTCACAGAGCCAGAGGGTTGATCCTTTACTTCTAACCAGGTACTTACCTTCTAGAGGCAAATGGTCTTCAGCCCTGCTCTCCTCAGAGGTTGTTGAGCCCTGCCCAGATCACAGCCCAGACTATATAATTCTGAAGTTTCCATCTAAAGCAAAGGCCAGCAAACTCACAAAAACTGACATGTTGCTGTCAAAATTGTGCCTCACACTGTTTGGTGGATTTTATCTCAAGGAGGAGCTTCGGTGCTCACCTTGCAGTGAGACATCATCTGTTTCTACAGCACAGACAGGCTGGCTCTTTTAAATTATTCTTGAATAAATGCACCTTTCAATTTTCAAAAAGGGTCACCTCTCAATTCCTCAGACACTTAATATGAAAACTGGGGTCACCTGGGAGCAAGGTGTCCCCCCTGCTGCTTTATTCAACAAGGAACCCATGAGCTTGCCTCATACCGCTACATGAAGAAAGAGACTCCAGATGAATGGCATGACCCAGTGAACTCACTGAATGCACCAAAGACCAACATGCTTAGAAAAGGTGCTGCAGACAGGGGAACCCCTCCCAAGAAACCAGAGTGAGCATGGAGGAAGTGCAACTAATAATCCAGAAAAACCTAACAAAGGTATAGGAGAGAGGCCTCACAGATTAGCCCCATTTCACTCCAAAAGAGTAAACTAGAATGAGCTTTTGGAAAAGTATGCTGCCATTTCCAGGGAAGAGACCTGGAAGAAGATGACAAGTAGTCCAAGAAAGCTGTTGTGAAGCTCATCAGCAGGGCAAGCAGAACACTGCTAAAAAAGGGAGAGAAAATGCTGAACCACAAAGCTCAGAAACAGGCAGGTCCTTCATCCTTTAGGCAGCCTGAGCTGTGTATTTCCAGAAAAAAACAGTCACATATATATACAAAACTTAGAAAATTCCTTACTAAAGATAAACCATGCAATCCAGCACAAGAAATACCAAGAGATGCAACCCTGGACTTGACACTTTCACCTTCCAGACTGGTCAAATTGTTTTGCTTTCCAGAAAGGGAACCAGATCAAATGCAACACAAGAAATGTGAGTGTTTCGCAAAAGTATTAAAGCTTGCAGTGGATAACTTTTCCTTCAGGGTCTTACTCTCCACCAAAAGTGATTCAGCCCATCAGGTTTAGAAAGTTTGTGCAAATTTATGTTAACTGCATAGCTGTAGAGCAAGCTTTTCCTTTGCGAAGTTTTTATGTCCATTTAGCAGCAGTTTCCATTTCCAATGGGCAAAAAGGGTTTCAGAAGTTCTGTTGTTTCTCGAGTTCCAAGAATGAAATGCATTTCTAAAAATCTTGAACAAGTCAACAATCCCTGCCAGTTAGGAAAAAGTCAGTTCCACCACTTCTGTGGCTGTTAAAGTCAGAAGTTGTTGTTCTTTGTTAGACAGATCATGCTCATATAGAACACAGTTTTCAGCAAGTACTAAAACCAGCTCTTGTATTTTTTCCCCTCTGGTGTATGTTGCTTTTGAGGTTACAAAACCAGCTTCTGTTATGGTGTTGTGGCCCCAGAAAGCACCTAAATGTTCTAGGAGTTAGCCAAGTCACAACAAACTCCCATGGCTTAGAAGAGCACCTTCATAAGCACTGCCTGAGAATGTGCTTGCCCTGAAGTCACAGAATGTAAAATTATTTATCCTAAGGGTAAAACCAGAAGGATCTTGAGCTCAAATCCCATGTTCAGAGAGGAAAAATGAGTGCACAGGTCCTGTAGCACAGTCCCTTAAGTGTCTTACCCTTTGCAATGCTACGGGCCTTCTATTTTCTGTTCTGTAGACTGCCTCTCCCTCTGTTACCCTTTCACCCAAGCTGCTGGGGCAGTGTTTGCCCTTGTTCCCATGCTGTAACTCTCCAAGGCTTGCACTTGCAAACCCCAATATTGCATGGTATGGCAGGTTCTTACGGGAAGTGATTGCCACTAGTGTGCAAACCACCCCCTCTTTCTGTACCCCGCAGCTGTACTGTTTGGTTTACATTAGGGGACTCAACATGAACTGCTCCAAGCTTAATAAACCAATATGCACGAGCATCTGCCCCCGGTCACTGTATGCTCCAGTCAGCACTAACAGTATCATAAGAAAAAACAATAGGGATTTCACACAGGTCCTGAGAAAAACTCAGTAATAATTAATGGAATAGTATGATGAAGACCACCCCATGCTGCACCAGAAAGGACACTCTGTGAGGATGCTCATTTGGGAATCCTGTCCCTTCTCTTCCTAGCTGGCCTCTGGGCAGTGTCCTCCTTGTCTTTTTTCTCATTCTGTCTTCACCTCTCACTCCTTTCCCTGCACCCCCAAGAGTTTTACCATTAGAGTTGATGTATGCCATCAACTACGGATCCACTAATTAACTTTTATGCATGTAAGCCTGTCTCAACATCCATTGTGCATCAATCTTACACATTCATCCATAAAAATTCCTCTTAATCTCTAGGTAACCTACTTTTACTGAGGAAAGAACAAGTTTTTTTAAACAGTAGCCAACAATCTTACAGGTCCTACAGCTCACAGTACATCACACCACATCAAGACTTCAATGCAGCTACAGAGAGCACTACTGAAAGCTTACAACTTAAGCTGTAATCAAAACTGGAGTATTCTAGAATTTGTGCAGACTTGTCACTTGTGCAAGTGAGCTTGGAAAGGGAGAAAAGGTATTTTAAAGAACTTGAACTAAGTTTTTAATGCATTAAACTAAGCTTTACCTTCTGTAGGAAGAGGACAATCCTCACAAGCATCTTGGCATGCAGTTCCTCCAAGGTGAACAGAGTTCGAGGAGTGCGGATGAAAATCTTGGTCTTGCCATAAGCAACATCGTGCTGAAATCCATGACACTCTATGAGCTTCCTCACAGCATCTTTGTCTGAAGGGAGGTCGTGGTTTGGCCAAGTGAATTCTGAGATCATCTTATACCTGGAATTACAAGGTACATATTGCAATTGTAAACTTGTCATCTACGTTCTCAAGGCAGCCAACTTTCAACACATTCTAGAAATAATTAAGATCTAATTTCTAATAAAAGTCATTATAGATAGAAGAGCATCAAGACATCCTCTGTAGGAATCATGATCCTCAAAATCCAAGGAACATTAATATGAGAGATGTGATTTTGTGAGACACTGAAAAGAAAATATTGTGAGGAGCTCACTTCATCAACACTGAGCTGATGCAACACGACAGACCTCACCGTTGTCTTCCTGCAGATTTGGCAGTTCCGTTATTCACACTTTCAGCATTCCATTTTAATTTTTTTTTTTTTTGCGAGGAAAAGCTTTGGTTTGCTCACATTCTGCATAAGAAGCCAATTGTAATCAAATGTTTTGTCAGAAAACCTAGATTTAAAAATTCTGCAAATAATTTTTCTTGTTCAGCATTTTGGTAGCCATTTCTAACAAATTCTATTATTTATCAAAGTAGCAGATATTTGACTGTCATAGTTTGTGCAAACACCACTACTGGCTGTAACTGTTCAATCCTTCCTTCCCATCCTTATGCTCCACGCACCTTTTTACACTAAGAGAGAGAATGAAGATTGGAACTTGGACGACTACAAATCAAACACGAAAGGAACTGCATCAGAGTATGCTCTCTGTAAGATTTACCAGCCTTGCAAAGTACTGAATAGGTGAATAAATGTTTGCAAAAAGCAACAATGAATTTTCTGCATAAGGTTTATGGACATAATCAAAAATGTAATAGACATTTTCACTGTAATAGTACCCACATTCATGTTCTAAATAAAACAAGCATGCAGCAATCTTAACCATTTCTTTATCTAAAAGCCCACAATCCAAGTCAAGCATCAGTCTCAATGTTTTAGACATTCAGAATTTTCAGCTACTATTGAAAGGACGCAGCAATAAACCTTTTTACTGGGGAGCGGGTGCACTTCAGGAGTTACTAAACAGACTAAAATAAGCCTGAATGGAAATACATCACACTGTCGCTTCCATTCATCAAATCAGCCTTTCTGAATAAGCTGTTGAAGAGGGGGAAAAATGGAGGTGTGCACTGTGTCTAAGCAGGGAGCAGCATCAGGATTACAGCATGCAGACTAAGGATCTTACTGATAAATAAAACAGGCATATTAAAAAGCCCTCCTCAGACTCACAACAGAAGATTTTTCACTTATATTTGGCTGGCAAAAGCATTGCTTCTCTCAAATACACGTACACACAGGACATAAATATTTTACACTGGTTTCTCTTTCCTATTCTCATCAGGAAAATGTTCCTGCAATAATTAATTCACTGGGAAAATCTTCCCCCTTGAGACATTTACATTAGTGAAAAAAAAAAAACAAACAAAACCAAAACACAAGTGGAGTGGCAGTGCAAACCCATGTGTTATTAAACAGGCCTGCTCCACTGATGGGGCCAGAAGGAAAAGGGATAAGATGTCAGAAGACTGAAAACCTGCCCAAAGGAAATGTTAATTTCTTGCAACCGGATTACTTCCCTCCTAGCCCCCAGGCGGTGGGACATCATGGGGACATCATGGCAGTCCTTTTGCTCCTTTTGTTCTTCCACTGCACCGTGAGGTGCAATGCCACAAACCCCTTCCCCGCAGCAGAGAGCACAGCCTGGATGCCACAGCAAGTCAAAATCCCAACCTCACTGCTAATTATAGTGAGGCAGAACCCGAAATAAATCTGCTCACTGACACCACAATCCTTCCTCTTCTCCTGCCTAGAGACCTTAACAGCTTTCAACGTCACTTATACATTAAACATCTATTTCTCCACCACCTTTGTCTCTCCTTCTTCTCCGTAATTAGCTCTCAAAACACCCGGCATGCACAAGGTTGATACTACAGTTTACAATTCCCAGTGCAGCTCTCCTCAGAACAAAGATTTTTGTGAGCCACTAAATTATGAAGCTTTAATGAAAAATATGAGGTCTGTACAGGAAGCTGGGCCATACGCTTCTCTTACCACTGCACAGTCCACAGCCATCCCGGTGCTGTTCACAGGCCGTGTTTATTTAACATTGCCTGGAAATAGGCACGGGGATCCCTTCTTGGTGAAAGGCCTGGATTACCCTCACAGGGCCGTGCCTGCAGATGCCTCGCAGGCGCCGTTCTTCCCCCTGCCCCGCACACATACCACTTTCTGAAATCCAATCAGCTTTTTTTTTGATAGTAAGTCATACATTAAAACAAAAGAATGCACCACATCTATTTAAGATACACGGTCCTGATGTGCATTTCTCACAACTGGAAGATGTAGTTACCAAGAGAACGCACAACATCTCTTGGTCCAACAAGAAAATATTTAGATCTTTCTACAAATTGGCAAGGGCAGACTGGTTTGCACAGAGGTCAAATAAAAGTTTCCTTCATTTCAAGGAAAGCTTGAAAAGGACATTTATTAATGGTCTTAACAGTGCTTCATTTAATTTCCTACTGGTAAATATGAGATACCAACTACCTTATGGTATTTTAAGGCTAAATAAAAACAAACTCTTTTCCTACAGAAAAGGAAGTTATTTTTTTATACACACATGTACTTATGCATCTCTAATAGGCATACATGCACTAATATATATCTCTATATCTATATATATATATCTATCTCCTGATATTTATCTCCTGTCCCCTCTAAGAAGAATCAGCAAAACAAAACACAGGTATCTGTTTTGGGGTCAAAAAATCTGAAAGCTTCAGGGGCCTGTAGGGGAGTTCAACATCTCTTTGTGAGACTGAACTTTTATAATATCTTTTGCAAATGTAAGCAAAGAGATGACAAAATTACATCCCAAAATTGTCTCTTGCTGAGTTACTCTAGGCTCCATATGCAGTGCAAGAGCCCAGAGCTGCAAGGCCTGAAGTCTCCTCCACGTTCCTAGTCTTCTAATAAGCCTGTTAAATATAATGGAACAGAAATCCCTTGTGATCCCCGTTCAAAAACCACTCAAAAAATGTGCAGCTTGTACCACAAATCATATCCCCCAGCCCCTGTAAATGTATGTCTCACCCAAACACAAGGAACAAAGAATTTTGGTAAAAATAAAAACAATATCCAGGCCAAAACATTTTTTTTTTTTTTAAACTTAAAAAAGTCAGTGTAGACTGGACTCAGAACAGTATCGTGATATGCAAATACAGGGTCTGATACACTGTAGATGTTTAATCCTACTCCAGGGTCCAGCAGAACAAACGTTACAATAGCCTGAAAGCCATACCAGTTGCCATGTGTTAATTTGGTTTACTGGCTGTAAACACCACTTCTGGTCTTAAGCTTACAGGAGCTCATCAAACATTCATTAAACACAAAGCAGCTGTTTATATTAATAGTAATTACACAAATCTTAAGAGTAAATTGTAATGAATTCCACATGTGAGGGCAAAAGCATGCTCTAACCACTGCATAATGTTTAAGAAAATTGATACACAGCACTTTAGGCTGTAGTTAGTAAGCCAGACCCTTTCGTTCCACTTCAGGTATCACGAAATATCCAGGCAAATCTCCACTGTGAACAGTAAAAGATCTTTCAACAGCGCTTTGTCTCCAACGCATGACATCCCACCTGCTTGAACAATTTCATTTTTTTCTACCCTCACGGCTTTTTTCTCACCTGATTCAATAACAGAAGTGAAAATCAATTCAGTATTTCATCAGCAAGAGGTTGAATTTTTAGTATCCATGCTAATTTACTGAAGCTGTAAGACAAATTTCAATCTAAAACATTTAATTTGTCACAAGTCTGGTAGGAATTAAGAGGGCAAGAAGTATCAAAAACATGTTTTAATGGGGTCATGTTACTATCCCTCTCTTAGACTTCCAGTTTTAAAGTCCAGAGGTTTCTTCCTGCATAATGTCACTGTGCACCACTGAGCACTTCCCAAGACACACAATGTCTGTCTGTCTCTCTCACTGCAACAATTAGACAATGTTCAGAGAGAAAACAGAAGTTAATTAGCTCCAGTTTTAGGGTTATGCTCTGGGGAAGAACCTCATTACACATTCCTGCTGCAGAAAGTAATACAGCAAATGAATTTTAGCAGAAAAGAAGTTGAGCCTGAGTGCCACGTACGCACCTCTAAACACATCTGCTGCCACAAAATGAGAGCAACCAGAATCCCCGTCGGACTCCTATTTTATCATACCCAACAGCAGATATTAAACCAAACATACCACCACCCATATGCTCAAGAGTGAGAATCACAAGCCCAGAAGACTTAAGACTTACTCCTCACTCGAGGAGACACAGCCAAATCACACTCCTCATTCCACTGTCCGAGTTGTCCTGCAAAGAGCTGCACTGAGTCACTTGCCAGCACCCTTCTTACCTGTGAAGAAACTTCTCGTACGTCTGGCGGTAGGCAAAGCCTGCTCGGCGGACTCTCACGTTCTCCAAAAGGCCAAGGTATTCAACCTGATGCCTGCAACGCTCCTCGTCAAAAAGCTGTGGTGACTTCTTATCATTGGGCTTAATGCAACGGACATAATAGGGCTCCTAAGGGGACAAATCAAACTGAGTTTTACTCAGAAAGAAAAAAGTCCATGCAGACACAACTGTTTCCTCATGAAAACGTTGAGATGTCAGGCCACCCCAGTCATCTGAATGAGGTTGGGTTGCTTGACAGGAATTACAAGGTTAGAACAGAAATGACAAGAGTGGCACGTAACGCGTTCCTCCCCTCTGCACACTGCAGCCACATGTTACAGGATCAATGTGTTACTCATTCGAGTTCAATTGTCCTTTTCTGTATTTCAGAACCAGCTCCATAGCCCTCTTCCCTACAGACTTTGACAGTAACAAAACCAATCTTCATACAAGATAGAACAATGTAATTCATTGTCCTGATTGTTCGATATGGCTTTTCCAGTATCAACATCCAAAAGCAGCATGGATTACTCTGCAATATTTAAACTAGGTTGAATCAAGTCCTCTAAAGCCTGTAGCAATATGCTGGAATGATGGCGATCACTGAACACTACCCCGTGCAGGGCAAAACCCAGCGACCGTCCCCTCCCAGCTCAGCACCACAAGCACCACAGCTTCCACAGGACAAACACAAGCCACCAGCACGGAAGCTCCTCTTTCTGCACCACCTGGGACTCGCAGGCAGCAGAGAACGTTGGCGGGGACCAGGGGCTTTGCCCCAGCCAGCACCGTGCGGGTGGCCCTGGATGTGCCGGGGGAGAGTCCCACCAGGTCGCACACCTCTTCACTGCCATCCAGCCTGCACCCATGAGATAAGCCCCGTATGCAGCCCTGCCAGACTGGTTTTGATGTTTACTTTTATTTTTATGAGATTAAAGGCAACTTTCATTTACGCCAACATGGTCTATAATTAGCACCAGCCTGTAGAGGGTGGCTCTAAGTCTTTCAAATGTATGTGCTTTCATCACAATGGGTTTTGAAGCCCCTTCATTTTTTTCTCTTCATTGCTAACCCTTGATATCCCACTGCTAAATTTATTAGTGGGTGGAAAAGCAATTAGTAAGCATCATAAAGGCCCACCATAGTTTTTCAAGGTAAAATCATATTCTTATAACATTAACATGCATTATTTTTTAAGTAGGCTTTGCAAAATGAGTGGCATATTCTGCAAGCTGGCAGAGCCTACTACCCACCGAGTCTCATCACCAGCCAAGGAGGTAACTCAAACAAGGATCCCAGTCAGCTCAGAAAGTCACAATATGTCCACAGACTTGCTTCAGAGGATACATTAGAGGTGCACTTAAACTGGAGCATTTAAAAAATCGGTTTACAGCAACGCTAACATTATGATAAAGGGAGATAGGCAGCCTGTCTGAAATCTTAACATTAGAAGATGTCACCTTTCATAATCACACCTGACAATTAGGAATGAAATTTCAGCAATTTTCCCCTGCTCTAGATGAAACAGGTGGCTGTGAAACCATCTGTAGAACTGCTCTGAGTAAGCAGAGGCCCCTTCTCAAAAGGGAAAGCCCAAGGGCTCTCCAGAGGAGTCTGTTCTGTTCCAGCACTACCGCACGGTTTCAGCAGAGATTTGAATGCACTACAGTGTGGGTACTAAATCTGTAGGCAATATACAGTTTCAGAGTGCAAGAACCCACAACGTTAACAAACAGAAGGAGTGGTTTGAAAAAAAAAAAAGGGGGGGGGAGGGAATTAATTTAGTGAGGACAAATACAAAGTTCTACATTTAGGCAGAAATAGTGTATAATAAAAAATGAAAAACTGATTTGACACTAGTGCTAAAAAAAGATCTAGGAGTTTTATCTGAGCATGAGTCAAGTTCATGTTTTTCTAAAGAAGGGGCAACAGGAACAGGAAAACTGTAAGATAAGAAACCCCAACAGATTTCTACTTATCTGAACATTACATCTAGTTTGGGGCACTGCGATTCAAGTGGGATGTAAACGGCAGTGAGTCAGTTCAGGGAAGAACAAGAAAGATCAAAAATCCAGAAAATGTGACTCAGGAAATATGGGTTTAGTCTTGAAGGACTAAGGAGCCACATAACCATCCCAGTGTTAGACTTAATACACTCAGACAGTAGATATGAAGAAAAGTAAATATTCCGTTTTAGGACAAAGAAGCACTGGCTTTAACTACAGTATAAAAATTCATATTAGGCATCAGGAGAATAAGGAATGTGTGCAGAATGCCTGTGGAAAGAGGGGAACCTCCACCAGTGAGGAGGAACAGCCTGAACAGGCATCTGCATAGAAAAGGTAGAGGCAGAGGTGCCCTCAAACAGAAGATGAATTCCCAAGGTCACCCTTAGCCCTATTGTCTATGATTTTACATCACTCACCTAATCTCAGGACAATACAAAAGGGCCAAAATTGCTATTTTCCCTCCAGTAATATTGAAGAAACAGGATCATCCTCGACTATCCTGGCTAGTCCTCAGATGACCTGGAGGTATGCAGCACTAATGACAGGCACAGGGAGCTTCCACTCACTAATAAATATGAATAGGCTGAATGTGAGTAATGAATAGGCTAAGATATAGAGGCCTTGGAAAAGCAGAGCCTCATATCCTAGAAACTGATACGAGCCACTGGATCTTCTGAGGGAGGTGTTGGACTGGAACGTTTCCCTGCTTTCTTAAGCATGCAATCAGTAACATCAAGCTGTGCTTTTCTCCTGAAGGGCTGTCCTTGGGGAAGGAATAAACAGCACTGAGGAGAGTGAGCAAAATCTAAGCAAAATCTAAGCCAACTACCCATACAAGAGCTGGCAGCATCTCCACGCAGCAACCTCAGAGTGCGCAAGTAGGTATGGGGAGTGCGTGGGTACAAAGAAGGATGTGTGGGCAGTATACGTTCTTACATCACCTCCCTTCTCCCCCTAGTGACTTCATTTCTCCCCACAAAGTGCGTCAGGGATAACTCGCTCACAGTCCTGTTTGGCTCCTCTTCTTACCAGGGAGACTGAGGCAAAGCTGCACACGGTGGAGAAAACCGCCCTGCTTCCAAAGAACCAGCTGAACCCCCTGGCAGGGCAATGCTCTCTTCACCCTGCTCCTCCTTCCATCTCCTCAGAGAGCAGTGGGCTCAAAAGAACATTAAGGTCACAACTTCCCCAGGGCACCAGGAAGCCAAGCAACAGCTCTGTTCTGCGTGAGGTCTTCTGCCACGGTAAATCAACACAATCCATACCTATGCTACTTGTTCTACTTTCCTTAAGGAGGGGATGGTGAATTATAATGTGCTCTTAAAAGAGTTTTAAGAGATTTACATATGAAATTTTTTGGCTTTCTCCTGAAAATTGTCTCTGCACCAAAGGTAAGAAGGTTTACAAGGGTCTTTATTCACTCAACAGTCTCCTACCAGCTCTCAGAACTTGCAATCTGCGTGGGTGATATTTTTCCTTCAGTTGTAGAGCTTGGCTGTGCCATGGGAACACAGCTGTCATCAGCACTCTTCACGCTCTCTCAGACATTGTGTATCAAACTATGAAGGTAGAAGCAGCCCTGCCTGAACCTCAAATCAGTGTTGAAGCAGGTCTGACGTGGTCATGGCAGCTATAACTGATGAGGAGCAGCAGTTTGCTGGACCTGATGCCTGTAATTTCTAAACTCTGTATCGTAATCTCCCGATCACATGGCAAGAAACAAAGGCCAGGTCATTCATCTGCTAGGAGAAGTCTCCTATATAACTGGAAATAAGCCATTTGGGGAGAACACAGGTTATACAGAGAACTTCCTGAATTACACCTGAACTCAGAAGCTATGAAAGAGTTTGCAGTTGTGAAGGTGAATGGTCTTCAATTCTCCCTATCCCCACTTGCCAATATTCAATTTGGGCCAATTCTCCATCCACACATTAGTCACCCTTAAGGAGAGACCTATCTCAGTGTTAGCAGCTGGGTCACTAACATCAGAGTGATGTCAGACCATGCCAAATCTGCCCTCGATACTGTTACGTTGCATCTGATGTCAAGATGAGATTTGATTTGATGAGACTGATACCACAAATACATTGGATCCACAGAACTGCAACATCTTGAAAACAGAGGAACAAAATTAAAGAAGTCATTAGGAGCATAAAGTAGAGAAGTGCATCCCACCCCTCTTGCCTCAAGGGGAATGGTGTCACTTGTTCATTACTGTTGTTACAGTGCCCAGTCCACAGCTATTCATTATTGCTAATACATAAACACCCTTCACCATTACAAAACTGGCTGCTTGGGTTGTCATTCATGTCTTTGCCATCCAAAACCACAACAAAACTCAATACAAAAAATCTGTGACTTCAAGCCCAACACAAAGAGAAGCATCTGTATCTGCATTTGATATAAAAGGCAGAAGTCAAGACGCTGGCTTCCTTTTGGAAAACAGAAATAGGAAGTTCCTGCACAGACAGGAGATCATCTATCAGTGCAATTACAGTGTAATTAAAGCCTCTCAGCAACGACAGCTACTAGGGTAAATTCTAAAGTAGATTATTCCATGCTTACAATCCCACCAGCCTCAGCTCTTCAGGGGGATAATTATGCAGCTCCCATTATTGCACCATGAGGCTGTCAAGCCTGGGAGCTGCATTTTATAAATGGAAGAACTGAAATACAGACACACAAAGGCCCCAGTTCTGAAAGCTGTTTAGATGTCTAATTGCAACTGATATATTTTTTTTAAATCAAACTGAGTGATTTTTAGATTTTTAAGTCTTAAAAAGGACACAAACCAGTTTAAAGTCACTGCACGCTAAACAAACTCCTCCTTGAGAGATTTATTTTCCATAGTTTATAGCTCCCTAGATGAGAGAAATTATAGGACACGAGACTGACAAATTTGTGCTAGATATGTCCAATCAGTCACAGTCATGACATTGTAACTTACAAGAGATGAAGCTGTCAACCTGGATAAGTGAGGAGAGGTATGGAAGAAAGAAGAGTCAGACAAAAGGAGTTACAGAGAAGGAGAGGGGAAAAAAAAAAGAAAAAAGGCAAAAAAAAGAGATGCATGTCCAGAGAGAGTTCCTAGAGAAGCTCATCATTTACAGCCATGTCAGCCAAAGGACTTCCCAAGTCAGTATTTAAAAGAAAAGCCACCTGAAGTAATCCATCACAGAAAGACTGTCCTGGTTTGGGCTGAAATAGAGTTAATCCTCAAGAGAACAGCATGGGCAGTAAAACATGTGCTTGAGAAATGTTACATGGCAACTCTGTAAAGCTAGTTTTTGTTTTGGTTGGTTTGTTTTTTAAAAAACACTTTCTTCTACCTACCAGAGGTTTCTGCCCCAAAGACTCTTAGTGTAAGTCTGGAGGAATACAGCATCACTGAGACACCAGTACTGACAAGCACCGCTTTAACACAGCACCCTCCAAAAACATATTTCCTAGCCTCATACTTCTATGGACATGTGTATACACAAGATGAAGTTAAAACTGTATTTGTGAACAGCTCCTGCAGTGTTAACAACACTTTTATGCTACTTACCCTAATAATCACACCCCCTGCCCCTTCCTCTCAGAGATTGCAGAACTCTGCTTCATCGCCACATTTCAGATTTAAACCAGAATATAAACAAAACAGAATTTTAAAGGTGGTTATTTTAAATACTGGGAAAGTTAAATAACCAATTAATGCAGTAGGTACGGTATTCATAGACTTTGAGCTTTGTTTATGATATTATTATTATTATTCCTGCCCACCAAATTAACATTTTTGGATGCTGTTCTCCCAAATGACAGGATTAAAGATACTGTTGATAGTGCCAAAAAACCTGCAGCTTTTTGGAAAGGGCAAACAAGTATCAATGAAGAAAAGCTCTTGGACTGCCCTTCTGTTCAAAGACTATAGAAACAGAGCACACAAATATAGTGTAAAGCAGTTTATGGGGAAACATTAAACAAGCAAGAGCAGCCCAGGTGGAATGGGAGGCCAGACTGAGAAAAGCAGCACTGACTGCACTTACACACTGGGCACAGTCTGGTAACATTAATAAATCAGCTCAAAGTACAACAAAAGTCAAGCTTATCTTCATCTTCGTTTTTGAGAAACAGCTGAGAAAAACATGAACTGCTATTACCTCTCCCTATGGAACCTTATTCCTCTGACATGTGTAGACCACAGCAGTTAACACCGCTTGTCCAGGGCTGTTTTCAGAGCGCTGTTTTCATCAGCTGTTACCACAAGCTTCCCAAAAAAAGTCCTGCAGGGTCCAAACCACAGTCAGACACACAGACGCTGTTGTTGTTGATCCCTGAAAGCGCAACTCTAGTCCCAAGTTAAGCATGGGAAGAATGAGTAACACGACCCAAGGAAGAATTACAGTACCCGTAACTGCAATGAGTGGTGTCCCCCAAAGAGACAGTGGTTTTACCAGCCCATGAACAGCAACTGTTCAGCTGCTCTCCGGCCCCCGGTAGAAGTTAGAGAGCTGAGACAAATATCCAAACTGGCAATGACTCAGAGGCAGAGCATTTATTTGTGCATAACCAGTATCTAGCAAAACATGGCTTGAACACCCAGTTATTAGCGTGCTAATAACGTGCACATATAATTAACTGTCCGAAAAGTCACCTCAAAGAGATCCTCAGGGCAGAATGGCCAAACAGAAGTTTTGCTGTTTGAAGTACACAATGACTGCGCTTAGAACTCTTATCTAAGCAACCTTTCCTTTCTAGGACACACCAAAATTTAGACCCTTTAAAGCAACGTTGACTTCAGGATGGGTCTCAACAAATTTCTGGGGGTTTTAAGATGCACAACAGCCAGCATCTCCACTAAAAATAGCTAAAGCTCAACTATGTAACTTAGCTTGCAAACTTAAGTACCTACAAACACTGTTCTGCAAGGAGCATTAGTCATGCAAATTTTTAAACAGCAGACTCCAAAGTGTGAATTTCACCCACTTTGTTCCAGCCCTCCATCATGCTAAAGGTTGGCCATAAAACACTGCACAACCAAGACAGCCCTTGGCTCCTTCGTGAGTGGCAAGAGCCCTCGTTAAGTCCTGACAAACACGCCTGCTTAATGAGAGCCTTCCCTGTAATGGGACCTGTAACTCCCTGGGAAATACAATGCTCTTAAGACAATTTTCTCCGTTGCTATTCAACAGAAAATAAAGAAAACCCCAACATCTTCCATACAAGTTTCTCAATGAAAGTTTAGGGAAGGTAAAGAATGGGAAAGGACTACACCAATACACACACAAGAACGTCCTAGTGAATTCACAAGCTTAAATATGACCTGGAGGGAGTTTCTGGCTATGGCCTATCCTTGGAAAAGGCCGGCATCTGTGACAGAGATACCAATGATAAATGGATTGAAACTAATTTCACACAAGCCAGCCAGCTTTCAATGATGAATTTTGGTACCTACAACTCAAGATAGATAATGTGCAATTTAAACTCTTCATCTCCTGCTGTGAGTTGCAGAAATTGTTCAACCCACCACAGTGCATGGAATTCTCTTGACTATTCTATTTTTACAAATACCAGGTGGCCTAGAATACTTTTTCCAATAAACAAGCAAATGATGTTATTCCACAAATGCTTGCTGAACCTCCTCACCAACAGCTCCCTGCTATCCCCGCGTTGATCCCAGCCCTCCACTATAACACTCCCAGCAGTTTCTGTCTACGTTGCTTGAAACACCTCACTGCGGTGTGCCAGGTTCCCTACCCATTTGCCTGGGCAAGAGATAACGTGACTGCTCTGTACGACAGAACTGCGTTAACAACAAACAGCATCCATCAGCATCTTTTTCCTTCCCCAACTACTAATTTTCACAACACACAGAGAAAACTATCTTGGTTCTTGACATCTCTATGCCAAATATAGGTTAGGGCTCACCAACAAATTATTTGGAGAACTGACAGATCAGGTAAGTCTTGACTCTGGGAAGTCAGACTAAAATCTGTCGCCACCTCCCTTCCATCAGGGTCACAGCCACCTTCTCCAGCCCCAACAGCTCATGATTTGCCATCCAGGAAAGCTCCTCTCTGGCTGCACAGGCAGGGGAGTGGGACCTCTCTCAATTTCTACTAATGGTGCCTGCCTAAAGCAAGACCTGGCCTTTGTCTGGGCTAAGAAGAGCACCCTCTTGGTAGCCCTTAGTCCAACAGTACTGGGGAGAGCTACGGGGCTTTGTTCCTCGGTCAGGAAGATCACCTAGCACCTCAAGGTTTGTACAGCCTCCTGCAGATTTACTGCTGAAGATTAAATCCACTCCAGAACTAGAACTCAAAAATGTAAAGCAACTGTGTTTTCATCTCCTAACTCTGGAAAACATGAAGCGTTATATTATTTTTTGTAATATTCCCCGTGAGGATAACTTTCTCTTCCTATGCACAACCAGTAGTGCATTACCGTGCTCTGAACAATACAGCACCTATGAAGGCTTTGTTACTCATGTGGCAGCCACTTCAAGCAAAAATTCAAATAGTGCTCTGCTCTTCACAGGGTCTTCTTATTAGAACAAGGATCGTATTTCTACAAAGCTTTTCCTAGCCTTACAACATCCGTGTTCACGTTCTCCCTCCAGATCTTGGGCCACTAACATCTCCTTTGCTACCAGAACTCCTGAGAAGGTAATCAGAACACATTGCCCTTTATTGTCTAATTATTCTAAATGCTAACATACACCACTACTCTGGGCTCACTATTCATCTCCTATGGACTGCACACCCCTACAAAAATGCCAACGCTACAAGAATGCCAGAAGTCCAGCAAGGTCATCCGGCATCAGTAACACCCAAATATTTCTCAGTGATCCCTGCTCGCATGAGGGGTCACACTGCTCGCCTCATCCTGCCACGCCGCTGCACTGCGCTCAAACAGCCCCTTTCCCAGTTCATTCCCTTACCTACCTTTCTTCACACAAAGTGGTGGTTGCCAAAGCAATACCTTCTACTATAAAACTTAATTATTTAGTAAAATAAAACGTTTCACACCCTCTGTCACAGCAAAGAGGAGGAAAGAAGGAAATCACACAGGTCTGACTGCATTTTCACAGAAGCCACTTGGCACTGAAAGCCAGAAAGAGAGAATCTCTCCACCGTGAAACTACATCCTCTAGGCCCTCTGCCAAAAGAGCTTTGTTAAAGATGATTATTTGATACAATAATTATTACCTAAGAGAGACAGGCTTTCCTACAAGTGAAAGATACACTGGTCACAGAGGAAACAAAAATCCACCGTCTTTATGCAGGGATGGCAGCTAACTGTCCTACAAGATCTTCGCAGCTGCCCATTGTCACAACCAAAGCTCATCTGCCATTGATCAGCTCGGCGTTCTGACTGATTGCAGCGATAGGAAGGTGGCAGTCTCTCCATGGAGAAGCTACACCCCACTAATCAGAAGTTGGAGCTGATTTTGAAACAGAAATATTTACCTTCGATGCCAGGTTGTCCACTAGTGCAATCATGGAGTTCTTAAAAAGAGTAGCAGCTGTCAGAGGTCTCTTGGTTACCTCAGTGATGCTCAGTTTACCTTCAGGCCACATCATCTTCAACACAGGGTTAGAGCTAAAAGACAGTCTCTTTTAATTGGAAAGTCTAACAGCACTTCCACTGAATTCCAAATTCAACAGCTTGTTTCTGTCTAGATCTACTGGTGTTTTCAGCTCAAAATGTATCAATCAAACCAATATGACATTCCTGGGCAAAATATCTCTTGCTCTTGAACAATACATGGTTCAAGCTTAGAACCGAATATTCTAGAAAAATGACAAGCGCATTCTCTTCAGATAAAGATGTGCAGTAATGGGATAGTAAAAATCCTGCAGAATTGATCTATCAAAAAGCAGGGTCTGCCTTACTGACACAAACATATAGAATTTAATCAAAACAGAAAAGAGTACGACCATAGGCCACAGCGTCCTCCCTTGAAACCTGCTATCTACTTTCAAGCTGTACTCCTGCACCATTCTTCACATGTAAAATAATTTATATATTTTAGCCTACATTTTCTTGAAGGGTTGAAGGTGAGATAAAATGGCCATGACAGATGGCAAGAGCCCTGGAATAGACAAAAGCTGAAAACAGCTACAGCAATCTAATCGCCAATCTATCATATGCTTTGATATGTTGTAAGTGGTCTTTGTGAACAGTCTTTACCAGAGACTTAATGGAAAACAGGGGCCAAATTTAATAAAAGCTCCGTACAGCAAATATTTTGCAGGTTTTTGGTTAATGTGAAGTCTTGGAAACATGAACAGCAAGACTGTTCAAAGGAGTACAGATAACAGGACTGTAAACTGAGTTAATAGTTGTGCTAGCTTTTAAACCAGGTAAACGGAGGTGTCCATGCAGCTGCAGGCTATTTTATGCTGACTTCTACCTGCGAGCAAAGCCTCTGAAAGGTTAAGATAGGCCATAGTTACAAAGGAATTAGAACGTGTTTAAATGCCAGCCATCAAGGAAAGCAGCTTTCTGGGGCAGCTATACACACATACACATCTTGATAGGATTTCAAACTTGCTTGCCGAAGGCAACGTTTACTTGCCTAATTAGTATGTATAACATGTGACTGCATGGTTTGAATTTTTCATGTCACTGCACATATGAAAAGTATTCAAGCCTATTTGCCCATTTTTTCCCTCACCTCTATACTTCCTTTCAAAACAGTGTCTTCTGGCTGGGGCCAGTGATATCTGTTGTTGACCAAATGCTACTACTCGGTATCTTTAGCACTGATTAAAGAGAGATCGGTAACCATACATTTCCAACTGGTCTAAAAATGTGGTTAAAGTCAAATCAAGCAGCACAGCTAATCTCTACACAGCTATCTTGATTGCACAATGAATTGGTTTCAAACACTTTAAATTTAGTTAAATTAAAAGTAATATCAAAACAAAAATAATGTATACCAAATAAGGACTCTATCCTGAAAATTCAAACTAACAGCCTTCGGGTTGCGGTAGATATACAAAGATAAATCTCAAAGCAACATGTTTATTCAGATGCACTGCACAGAGAGTAAAGATAGCATCAGTGGAAACATTAGTCTCTTCTAGCATCCACTCTATAAAAAAGGATTCTGACAAATGAGATTTAAATTCACCTCATTAATATTTTTATTCCTACCTGTTGTACATGAGGCGCTTGAAGTCTTGAAATAAAGTGTCCTTGTTTTTGTCAATAAATCCAGTGACTGAGTAACTAAAAAAAAAAGGAAAACAGATTTCATTGCAAAGAAGCAAAGTCCTTCTCTGAGCTACTGGTATCAGTGTGGAATCAGCATCTTTGCATTCTTACACACACAGCAGATGCTAATCAGGAATCCTGCTGTTTTCCAACCTATCACTAATTTGCTGCATGAGCACCGTGTGAGACAGACCCTTCTGCCCAGCCTTCCACCTCCAGTGCAGGAACAACATCCATCTAGGTTTAGAAAGCTATTTGAACTACGCAGGTGAAGAGCATGATGGCCGAGACACCTAGCAGGACTTGAACAAGTTGCAGATGGCCTAGTTCAAGAGTTACACTCATGACTTCTGCCTCCAAGTTCAGAGCATGTGTTTGTTTTAAATCCTACAGAAATTAAGTTTCTTTGTCAGTACGTCTAGCCTGCCCCTCTCTCGATGTCAAGGTAGATTCTCTAGTGGGAGTGTCTGAAATGAAGAGCACCCTATAACCAGGGACTAGGGAACTCTCTCAGAAATCAATACACACACACACACACACACACACATATATATTTTGACTCTTCCCTTCCTCTGTTTCCACAGAAATACCACTCTGACAGATTATAGTTTCTAAGTTTCATCTCTTCTCCAAGACTCAAGACAGGACAGACAACACTCTGTCCTCAAAAAAAAGGTCCAAAATATCCCCATTTGGTGATTCCCACTCAGTTGCTTCCTGAGCTCCAGATCCCCCCCGGGGAAGCCTGCACCTAAACGGCAGGCACTGGGATCCAGAGCCCCACAACACTGAAATCCCCGCATGGAGCCACCCCCAGATCTTACTGCTCCACATAACACAGCTCAGGCTCAAATATTATCTGCAAATATTTCCACATTTCAGTTTTCTTTTGCAAAATTTTTCAGCCATTGGCAGTACAGAAGGTTCAACCACTAATATGGCACCTTGTATTTTCTCCTCCTTGGCAAAATGCTTTGAAATCAGGGATGTCTGTCAGCAATCGCTCAGCAGAGACTCCAGAACAAAATCTAGCTGCATTGAAGGGGCTCCAGTATGATCCCACTAGTTACCCGTACAAATGAAAGGTGAATTTAATCCCAAGGTAAAAGAAATCCTGAATTATTTCCTCATTAACTCCCTTTAGATCATGCTAGCATGGGGATTTACCCAAATCCTAAACCATTAAATCACTCCAGTGGTATTCCAGACAACAGCTTTCCCAGTGAACAGTTTCTAACATATGGGCATCTTTCACTTCTACTTAATCCTCCTTCACATTACTGTCACATACCATAGCCATTTTTGTGGGCTTCAGGTACAGAAAACTTTTCAAACTGAATGGGGAAGGCTCCTTTCACTGATATTTATTTCAATTTAACACTACCCTGTATTTTGAGTCTGCTCAAACTGATTTGAGAATTTGAAGCCAGAGAGTTATATAATCATACTAAACAGATGTCTAAACCAGATTTTATTAGCTCAGTATAGCTTTATTGCATAAAAAGTGCTGGCTTCCTTTTTCCCCCTTTTTTTTTTTTCTGAAGCACTCCTCTTGCCTCACTCCCCCTCCCCCCCATATTCTCCTTTTATTTCAATTCCAAGTACAAAATCATATTCTGTGTAACAAGGAACCAGCATAGGATTTAATTGATAAGCAACTGCTACACTCTGTAATTCTGTATAACAGCTATTCTGGAGCATACCAGAAGCAGAATTAAACCAGAATATTGTACCACTTCAAAGCTGGCTAAAAGACAAAAATAGAAGGTGCAACTTTATTTCTGAAACAAACTTACATCACATCTCCGGCATAGTGCTTGATGCGAAAGTCTCTGTCAAACTCCAGCGTTTTGTCAGTTGCACAAAGCTAAAACAGATTCACATACATTAAAACATCACCTATGGACTTTCCAGTTTCATGGAAGAGCAATAGACACTGGAAATAGCAATGGAAACAATAGTTATTCCACTTTATATATGCAGGTGTAGATGTGAAATCCAGTTACAACACTGCTTTTTAATATTTTTTTCATGGATGTATTATAAAAACATACAGTTGTACAAAATCAAGTTGCAAGAGCCTGTTTTGTCCTGCTTCCAGCTGGGACACAGTTAACTTTCTCCCTAGTAGCCGGGACAGTGCTGCGGTTTGGATTCAGTGTGAGAATAATGTTGGTAGCACAGCGATGGTTTAGCTGTTGCTAAGCAGTGCTCAGCCTAAGTCAAGGATTTTTCAGTTTCCCGTGCTCTGCCAGCGAGGGGGTGCACAAGAAGTTGGGGGGGGGAGCATGGCCAGGAGAGCTGACCCCAACTAGCCAAAGGGCTGTTCCATAGCACAGGGTGTCATGCCCAGTATAGAAACTGGGGGGGTTGGCTGGGGAGGGACCAATCGTTTGGGCATCAGGCAGTGGGTGGGGAGCAATTGCACTGTACATCACTTGTCTTTTCTGGGATTTTATTTCTCTCTCTTTTTGTTATCGTCCTTTTCATTACTATTATTATTATATTTTATTTCATTTATTAAACCATTCTTATCTTAACTCACAAGTTTTACTTTTTCCCCCCCGATTCTTCCCCCATCCCACCAAGGAGAGGGGGGAGGAGTGAGTGAGCGGCTGCGTGGTGCTTAGTTGCAGGCTGAGGTTAAACCACAACAAACCTACAGATTTATTAAAAAATTGATACTATCTCAGAAACACCATTAAGCAAAAAGAACATTTGTGCAGGTAGAGAAACACTGCACCTAGGAGTTAATTTATTACTTTTTAAAGGTCTTCCTTTCTATTTTTTTTCCATTGCAGTATCACTTCTCAGCACAGAAATGAAGCAGTCAAAATATGACAGTTACAACAGCAATGCCTGTTCTGTCCCAAATCACTCTAGATCATCTAAGACCCCTCAAACAGTGACCACCCCTGTAGATCACCCAGGGTGGTCACAGCTCCAGCCCTCTGCTCTCGGCTCAGAATTCTCATTCCATTCCTTCACCACAAGGAAGATGTCAACTGTCCACGTGGCAGCCATTCAGCAGCAGAGACCATAATACACTTATCCCTTCAGGAATAAGAGAAGCCAAATAATCCATCAGGTTCAGCTTAATTAAAAAAGATGAACAAGGTAAAAATGAGGATTTCTGTGTAAGCCAAAAGGGGCAGCTAGATGAATTAAGTCTTTGCAGGAAGCATGGACACCATTTAAAAACACTGAGGGCTATGAGCAAATATCTACTATCCACCAAAAGTCTTGGGAAAATAAGAGGAAATTAGCATGGTTAAACTCCAGGGCAGGAGAGATTATTAGAAGCAGGAAGATATCCTTCAGAAAACTTCACCTGTGTCCAAGAGTACAAAATAGATTGACTCAAACTGACAAAACAGATGTAAAAAAAAAAAAAAAAAAAAAAAAAAAATCACCAAGGAGGAAACCAGAAAGTTTGACTAACAAGGCACACAGAAGGTTACAAAGGTATAAGAAGTCCAGCACAACAGGAGCGGGAACCATGCCAGGCACTGCAGAGCTGATAGATGACCAAGGTGTATAAGGAACAGAGTAAACGGAAGAAGTAAGGCCATACCAGGAAAACTGAGTAATTATTGTGTTTACAGCTGTGTTTATCAGCAAGGAGCTGCAGAGGATGTAATGCCTTTTTTCAATCATGCAAAATATACATCTCAAACCAACCGGTGGATAGGAGAGGTGCATTACAAGTAACAACATAACTGAATGAAGCAACCGTTGCTACCAGACAGGACAGGGTTGGCCCCACAAGCTTCTTGCTTAAAACTCATCCAGTACCCGAGAGGCTGAAAGGTGGTTTCACAGGATGATAGGTTTTTTAAGGAATTTTTCTGTGAACTTTTTATCTACTGGGAAAAGCAGTTGAAATTATTAAAAAAGAACAGTAAGTGTATTGATATAGTTGATAGTCTGCTTGGATTTCTATGAGCCTCTTCACAAGGTTCCTCACTAATAACGCAAAGAATTTAAACTGCTATGAAAGGTAAGAGAAAGAAAGGGTCCTCACATGGGTAACGGTTGGGAAGATGGAAAACCGGCGTCCTGCAGGGGCCTGCGCTGAGGTCTAGACTGTTAACATCACCTTAAATGAGCTATAATCTGAGGGCAACAGGAAGGTGATCAGGCTTCTTGATGGTACTTAATTATTCAGGGAAGTAAAGACAATGGCTGGCTGTGAAGAACTGCAGGTAGACACGAGAGGCTAAAGAATGGCAGAGAGCAAATTAAACTGAACATAGATGCAGTGATACGCACAGAGAAAAATCAAAGTTCATAGCAAATGATGGGCCCTATTCCCAACCCAACAAGAACCTTAACAACCCTCCGTCTCAAAAAGGACACAGGAGAACTGGAAGAGGCTTGATGAAGGGCAAAAATGATCAACAGTACTGACTGACTGCTAGAGGAGGAAAGGCCAAATGAGCTAAGCCTCTTCAGGTTAAGAAAGAAATGCCAGGAGATGATGGCAAGCAGCATGGAGATGATGTACTGGAAGACACAGTGAACTGTGTCTTGCTGTTCAAGAACTAGGAGGCAACAGACACAATCTAAAAGGGAGAAGAGAGGAAAATGGAAAGGAACAAGCTCTTCATGTGAGTATCTACGCTGTGTAATTCATTGTCAATTTTTAAAAAAAAACAAAAAACAAAACAAAAAAAAAAAAAAACAACCAAAAAACCCCCTATTAAGGACACCAGCCCTGTTTCAGAAGGTTCCTGGACTGCAGATCGCTGAGGACTGAGAGCATATAAAATTTATCATTTATGCATTTGTCCCATACTCTTCTGTCACTTAGATCTTCATTATTGCCTAGTGTCTTGGAAGATACTATGTCAGGTGGACTGGATGGACCTTCTCATACCCTCCTCCTCTTCACAATCAATTTGTTGAGATTGACACTAAGGAGACCTTTCCATTATTGGAAGACTTAGGAATTCATGGACTATCACTGTACTTGATCCTTTAAAACTATAATATCAATTGAAAAAATTCAGAACTTAAAGAGGCTGAGAAAAAGAACCTGTGATGTTGAAAAGTACTATCAGAATAGTTAGCATTTGTACAGATCTAGATTAGCATTAGATAATTCAGAGAAGGATGACCCATGCTCTAGGAACATAAAATTTTGCCACAAATACTCATAATGGGTGCATTTGCCAGTATTTTTCCTGGTTTGTTTGGCTTTCACCAGGACAACCAAGCAGACAGCAGATCAGACATGCAGTACACAAACTAGGACACTACTATTTAGGGCACAGCAGCCCCTTAGAGCTTATCCACATGGAGCCAGTGTCCAACATGCTCTACAGGGGAGCAGCGAAGCATTAACTCAGGCTGAAAGATGGGAGCTGTGCCCATGACATATCAGCCCACATACTTTAACTCTTTAGGAAAAGCTTTGATCTACGCTGAACTTTATAGTATCTGGACAGAAGTACTGCAGTCTACAAAGGCAAATTATGAAATGAACTAAACTCATTTGTTTTAATTCAAGCTAGAAGAGGCAGGCTTAGAAAGCTCAGGTTTCCTACAGCAGTTGTAGATGGGACAGAGGAAGGTTTTGGATACTGGTAAAGGACATCTGCAAGGATGCAAGAGGGGTTAAAAATAATTATGACACTGAGAGTTTTATGGGTCAATTTTTTCAAGGCTATATTGATTTAAACTAGAAATTAGCAAGCTAGGAAGATACATCATACTCTCCATAAACATTATTTGTAGCAGTAATCCTCATTTCCCTTTTAGCCTGTGCAAACAGTTTTCTGACAATGCCACCCCCTACTGAGGGATGCTGCAACCAGCAATATTTTCTTTTAATGTTTCCTAAGCTGTGAAGGGACTTCTAAAGGTAAGGACACAAACGAATTTTTTTTTTTTTTTTTTTTTTCATTTTACAGCCTCCCATATACATTATGAAATTCAGCCCTCTTCCCCCACTGTATCAAAGGACTACCTGCCCTCTCCATGATAGAACCACTTCATCTTAGCAAGACAGAGGACCAAGGACAAAACAGAAACTGAACTCCTTTCTCTACCAGCTTATTTCTATTGACTAGACAACTCCAGAAACTTGACAACTTCCCACACTACCCCAGCTGCAGGGATTTAAGACTCCATCCCCCCAGGCTTCACTATTCACAATCATCAGTACTACTAAGGGAAGCAATTTGCATTAAAATGTAGAAACCCAGACTAGCTTCATGAAAATACTTGCTTTCAGGTGAGTTTACTCAGAACATGCTATGCATCTGCTTCTTAAGTAGGTAAAAATCTAGGTTAACATGGAAAGCAAAATTCTCCATTGCCTCTCCCCTGGCTAGGATGCATGTGGCAGAGGAGATGTCAGGTGTGCTGCAGCTAAAGGGCACTTAAGGAAAGCCACATCCAGGAAGAAAAAGTGGTTATTTTATTTTCATCCTAGCCTCTACCCAAACAAGGCACATCCAGATTTATTGTTTATATTCAGCTTCCCTGGAGGCAGCCTTTAGCACATATCTTATACAACCATGCTAATTTTGTATTTCTGACCTAGATAAAATATTGTACTGGGGTGGGAGGGAGAAGGGGGGAACCAGCATTCTGAATGAGGTATTTCAAACAATGTTTCTCAGTAGAGAGACATCAATAAATTAAAGGCCCTTATTTGATTACTCACTGTGAAAGATTCTCAAATTAATCAGGCTGATGACCATGTTTTCAATACGCTGCCAAGTGAGGAATAAATAAAGCCTTTTAATTCGTACATGGTACTAAAAACAAAGCAAGTTGAGGGGCCTGGATGATCATAGGCACAATATGAGATGAACATATTTTGTAGCCAATGACAATGAAATAAATAGAAAAAAAAAAAATCACAGCGCTGTAATAAAGCAGAAGTGTGAATAATTTCACTGTCACTATGTATTAGAGCAGCCTGGGAAGAACATCACGTGGGTTGAAACTGTGCATCAATTGGTTACAGATGACATCATGATATGTCAAGGCACGAGCTCACTCTTCTTTTATGCCTGGAATAAAGCTGATCTCACATTGGACATACTTCAGCTCCCTCTGCCGGATACGGGGCCGCCCGAGGCGCGACTCAAACCCCGCCAGACGGCCTGCTCTGCAGCCAGGAGCTGCTGCTGCTCTCAGGCATTTCATTTCATACCCAACAGTAACAATTCTAACCCCAGCCACTCTTGTACTCTTTTTCCTTATTCCATTATGCCTAAAAAACAGAAATGCATCACACAGGAAAGGAAGCAAGTTTTGAGGGTACAGAGGAATACGTTACCTTTCTGCTGGAGAAATGAGCATGCTTCCCTAGCTTGTTATTAAGAGCCTCGAGGAACATCTCATCTGTAACTTTTCCAACATTCATGCAGGCATCATCCAGAATGGCAATGATCCCTTTGTGCTGCTGCTCTACCAGGTCAACGATGACCTGATTGTTAAAGTAATCAATCTGTAAAAAACAAAGAACAGGTATATTTGTGACTTTGGCTAGGGAAAAAGGAGCCTATCAGTGTTGGTCACTGATGAACAGCACCATGTGTCTGACAGAGGGAATGGGGCCCATCGTTCACAGAGGAAGCAGTCAGCTTTCAATATGCAGATCACTAATTCAAAATTAAGCAGGCTATTTTTCTACCACTAAGCAGCACAGAAGGCAATTTTTCAAACACCGCTCATAAATCTTGAGAGCTGTGCTAAAAATCAACTGCTCCAGAATGCACTTTAAAATGTCTTAAGATTCAGCTGTGCAGTCACCACAGTGAAAACCAGGTGTCTTGTCCCTGGTGTTATGAAAGGAATTTGAACAGTTGAATTCAAGATTTTTACACTTTAATATCTACAACTAGACAAAATACGTAAGCACTCAGAACAGAAACACACAGTGATGTGTGTGGCATCACAGAGATGCCACAGTATGTTTTAACTCAGACCTGGAGCCACTTATTTTCCCACACCACGGCAAATAAAGAAATGCTGTGAGAGAACTGGTTAGCTTCTTCCATAGCCTGACTTCCCGACAGCCAGTCTGACAGTACAGCTGGCACGGACACAGATGTCCTATCGACATCGATAGGAGCGTACATGTGGAGCAACTTTAGATCTGGGACTTATGGCTGGTACACTGACCTCAAACCGAACTCTCCCCCACCGCCAAATCACTCACATGCTTCCAGGGAATTCCTTCTCGCTGGTACTCTTCCTGCTCCTGCTTTAGAACCAGCTGAATAAAGAGTTGCTGTAGCTTTTCATTGCAGTAATTAATGCAAAATTGCTCAAAACTGCAAAAGCATAAGAAAAAAAGGTGATGAGTTTTCTGGGAAAGGGGAGGGCGCAGCATTGTGCTTTAATAACTTGGCTCACCTGTTATTGTCAAATATTTCGAAGCCATAGATATCCAGGACGCCGATGACTGTGTTTTTCCCATGTATTGTAGTGTCATAGTTCTTCACTTCAATCACATCATTGATGTGTGTCACAATCCAACAAAACAGGCGCTCATATATAGCCTGCCAGGAAACAAATACTGATGAATTTTGCCTGCATCTGTCTCAGTTCTTTCTGGTAAATGCAACATGTGGTGCTACAAAGCTTAATTCAAGATACTGCCCTAACTACACATAAGCTACAGGTATTTGCTAAATTCTGCTAAAAGTGAACAGATATTCTATGAAAACATTTTTTTTCTTTCTTCCAAAACTCATTTACACAAAGCCTGAACTCTAGTGAGGTTACTAGGTACAGCAGTTCCCTAATTTGATTCCAGTCTGCTTTGCAGCTGCCTAATAACTTCCATTCCTGAGAACTATATAACAATATTGAAAAGCAAATAAGAGGTCAGCTATAGAAACCTAACAACTGAACACAATGGCAGTAAAATATTCCTGTTCACCTTTCAGAAATAAAATGTTCTGTAGGCATAGGTAGCTTCAAAATCTACATGTTCAAAATGTACTATGAAGCTGTGCAAACATTCAGTCTTAGGAAAAAAGGTCAAGTTAATAAGCAAGGATCTTCATAACTTCATCTGTTCTTCCCTTGTCATTTGGCTTCTTAGCAGAGGAAGGACAATTGTCACTCTGCCATCAGTATCCACCTTTCCAAAAAAGACAGCACTGCGGGTCTCCAACTGAGTTCTAGATGTTACAGTTCCACTTTCTACTCTTTAACTGCTCAGTGAAGTCAAGGATCATATTTCGTAAAATATTCAGCCCTGTACAATGTGGTCTTTTTGCAGTTGCCAGCAAGCCAGGCTTGCAGCTCCCTCCCCCCTTTCATGTGCCGCAGGCACTGCTGGTTGTGGTGCATGCTGTGCCACAGCCAGGGAAGGGTGGGGACCGTGCTGCTCTGCAATCCCCCTACAGAACACAGGAGTGCATACAGTCAGTAATAAATCCACATGAAGTACAGACTCCCCATGTCTCAGCAAGCACTATACTTATTGATCCACACAGGAAACCTACTGGGACCTGAGCATTGAAAAATGTGCAATTATGAAGGCAATTCAATACTGAATGCCTTCCTCAGGCATCACAATTCTTTGCTGTATCAAGTACAACTCAACCAGAAGGCAAAAGCAAAAGAAATGTGTATGAGTTACTGTCACATACAATATTGGATGTAGAGAAAGGAAATTAAAACTCACTTTTGCAAAGGCATCTCTACCATAGGTGGCTTCTTGTTCAGTATGTTGCTTGTCAATGACGTCCCGACCTGTAGCTACAGTTCGAAACAAAAGAGCCTTCTCCACCATGTCAGATTTTGTTGACAGCAAGTCTGCGATGATCGACACAACCTTGCCATTTTCTATTACAGGTGTATCACCATCCACAGAAAACTTCAAATTGCCCTGCAATAAGTAGCAAGGAACTAGATTTCTCAATCTGTCTGAATCAGTACACCCCAGGTTCATCCATGTTCCACCTGTTATTCAAGTCAGTAAATCTCTTAACACATTAGAAGGGCTGGGCCTTGCATATCCACGTATCCACAAAGCTCCAACATCTGTGGAAGCAGCAAAGCCTGACTCAAAGAAAAGAATTCCTGCTTAGTGTTCAGCTGAGGTTTTGGAAAAAAAATTACATCTAACACTTCCAGAGGTTTAATCAAACACTGTCACAAGATTCAGAGCCTAGTGATGGGAAATTACATTCCGTATACAAACGCTGGATGTAACATTTCATCTTCACTGCCGTTTGCCACAGAAACGCTATCACCCACAAAGGTAATGTGAATATTCGGGGGAAGCTGACAAGTCAGCAGGGCTGATAGGACTGGACTGACAGCACACTACCACAACAGATTTGTTGCGGAATACCTGCCGTGCCAGGATTAAGTAGCAACATCACTGCATAACCTGCAGGAGTGGGTGGTCTCACACCCCGCCTGCACGGCCTGACTCTGCTCTGCCTCCGTTCCTTCCCCAGCACTGAGGCACAACTATCCCACAGAGGAGAAAGAATTGGAAAAAAGCTGCAGTTTTCTTTGCTGTCGTCCTCCTGCCCACCCGCAGTGCCTCCGTCCGCAAGGAAATGGAAGAGCTGAGCTACAGGGACACTGCGCAGAGGAGCAGCCTCTGTGGGCCCCAGGAGAACACGGGTTGAGGGAAGGATTTCCTTAGCATCAGAATACAGAGAATTAAGGTCTCCTGTATCCAGCTGTGCTCAAGCCTCCACCATGAAGTGAAATACCATCCCTCCAGCAAAACCACGGTGCTGGTGGCAAGTGTGAGGGTAAAAGGGGACAGAAGGACAGCGAGGTGAGAGCTCCCTACCCCTTCGCTGCCAAACCCAAATCATTCCTGTTCAGAACATTTAACAGCTCCCAGTACTTAGTAGTATGTCTGTTTTAGGATCTGGAATATGCAGGAACAAATGTGATCTTCCATCATGACTGCAGTGTCTTATTTCATGAAGGAGTTTCACTCATCACTGGAAGTTGTAAACTATATACACTTTTCCAGCCAACAGATCTTCCAACTGCTTCTACAGCAAGAAAATTAGAGCTGCTGGAAGTACAAGTATGGTGCTCAACTTCTCCTGAAGAACAGCCTACTCATACCTGCAGGCAGAGAGCTTACCAAGTGAAGGATGGCTGCCACAATTTTGTAGACAGTCTGAATCTCCTCTTGCTTGAAGCCTATCACTTTCATGGCATCAGCTACTGCTTTGAACTCTGCACCATCACTGATGGAACACTGAGGGGAAAGAGATGTTTGGGACATGAGGGGCTTAATGGGAATCTGCTGTGAGAAAGCAAAGATTTTGCAAGCCCATGGGAAATAGATATGTACTTTGCTATTTTTCAGATGCACGACACTATATTGAGATTTCTCAACTTATTCTAATGCCATACTGTATGCTTGTACGCTGAACCCTGCATTGGACACACATGTATACTAGCAGCAGAGATACAGAAATCCATCACAGCACAATTAAATAGTTCAATACTATCCCAGTGGAATTTATTGTGAAAGAGTAGAAATGATACTTAAAAAAAAATTAGAACAGTTACAAGTAGTGCAGTCACAGACCCTCTGAGTAGAAGCTGCAGAGCACCAGCACTAAATTTCTAGTCATCATCTTTCTCAAGATGAGGCTCTGCCTCCCCCCCCCCCCCAATCATCTGGGTTTGTTTTTGCTGCAGATTTCTAGAGAAACTGATAAAGGCATCTGAGAAGGTCTATGGGTTTATCTGCCAAAGAGCATCTCCAGAAAGCAACTGGGAAACCAGGGAGCCTTTTGTCTGGACCTTGCTTCAGAGGGACAACACTAGGGACAACTCCAGACATTTAAAGTGTTCGGGATCTTGCTGTTCTAAAAACTTTACGGATTTGCTCTCTTCTTTCCTGCTCAGAGGCCCCCTTGAGGATAAGTCAGATATAAAGAATGAATGCTTCAGTAACTTGAATGGTCCTACTGTAAAAAAAAATGAGTCCTTATGGCTTTTGGATCCAGAAAGCAGCTTAAGTTACCCATTATGAAGCATGAAAAGTCTGTCACTGGTAATGGGTCAAATACCTATCCCTGCATTTATTAACAAAGGTGATGTCTCTCCTACTACACTTTATTGCTTTTTATAAGCAGACACAAATGTAGCATGCACAAGTACACGTATGCTTGTCTTCCAAGGCCAGAAACTCCTTTAAAAATAGCACATCAGTGCCACCTTTCCATATTCATCCCATAAATATTGGTCTCAGCTTCTCTAGCTCAGAAGTACTTTAAGCATTTCAAGAAGTGTTTACAATTTTAAGACAAGTTACCTCTAACTTGCTGATAACACCCTCACCTTTAGCTGTGCTCCAGGACAGATATAGTTGTATGCAGATGCATCCTTCTGAAGATGTAAAGAACGTAACATCTGGTCAGAACCCCCCTGGAGGAGCTGTACAAAGAGTATTTTAAGAAACGGTGAATGAAAAAAATAAGATCCTTCCTTTTCTGTTTCTTACTCAATTGCTTGACAAGCAAAATCATAAAAACATTCACTTACTGCTACAGAAGAATCAGCTACAGTATCTGGAGTCACAAGCACAACATGTGCAAAATACACGGTCTGCATCCTTGTGGGGCTCTGACCCCCAGAAAGAGGTTGTCTAAATTGACTGTCCTTGGGAGTGACACAACCGTTTAGAAAACAAGCCCGAACCTCTTCACAGATCAGACATGTTTACGTCTGTGACATGACACAGATGTGACTTGGCAAGCACATTTACCTTCTCTGTTATACACAGACTGTCCAATATGGAAACAACACATTCATGAGAAAGGTGCTAACATGCCATCATGGAGTACTGAATAAGTGGGAAAAAAAATAAACAAACCTACGTTTCCCTCACTGCAAAACTGAGAATAAAGGTTACACTAATAGGCCGACCATTTTCCCCAAAGGACACACAAAGGAACCACCACACAATATGGAAGACATTAAAAAGAACCCCCACAAAAAAAAAGAAAGTCAGCTTGGTGTCATAAAATTGCTTCCATATGGACTAAAGGCCCCAAGAGAAAATAGAGAGATTAGGCTTATTACAAATAAAACAGTGAGTCAAAGCCCAATATTCTACCATATTTGTTTAGTTAGCCTCCTTTTAAGTTTACAAATGTGTTAATATGGAATTGGAGGATAGAAAAAAATAAATCTTCCCATGCTCCTTCCCCAGATCAGGCCTCTTTAAAGAATTAAAGAACCTAAGATCACCCAAGATGCAACAACAAGGGAACCCTTTGCAAAACACACAAGAGGGTGAAAGCTTTAAATATTTTGCCTATCATGTCTTGGAAACTTGAGAAAAGTCATTTGTTTCAGCAAACGAATACGAACCTGGTAAAAAGAATGAAAGCTTCGTTCTCCTGGCTGTTGCACAATCACACGAGACTGTGGGGAAACAAAATACACAGACAGGTATTTCTGGATGTGGACAGCCTGCTACCCCAGCACCTCCCCTTAGACACCGATGCATCGGTTCACCACTGCTAGACACCTCCAAACTAATCTTATCTTACAATAAGTCTGTTACGAACACTATTAGCTAGGCACGACCATGGAGTTTGAAGTCTATAATCGAAAAGACCAGCTTGTGTAACAGCTGCAATGCCCTGCTTCCAACCAGGAATCCCATGTGGCAACTGCAGAATTGCTTTCATGGCTGAGTCAAGTAAAACGTCATTTTAGTTTAAGAGTTATTTAATCACTGGAAATGAGAAACAGGACTCTGGGACTACAGACAAATGCTCCACGGGACATAGTTAGGGCCTGATGGTAACCATTTCTACAACCCCAGGACAGGCTGACCAACAGCACCCAGCCACTGTGTTAGTGAGCACCCGGCTCCAACACAAGGGCATTGATTTAGGGAGCAAGCGATAGCTCCACCTTCAGAGCACTCAGCTCAACCCAGCATAAAACAGCACCAAAAAAAAGTTAAACGCAGCAGAAATTAAGTCACTATATCCTTATTCTATGCTAGAAGTTTGTACTGTGGAGAGTGATGAGGCGTGTGTTCCTGCTGCAGTGCAAAGTCACCCTCTGTTAACTGCTTGTGGTTGGACCAGAGCCTCAACTGCATTCAAAATGGCAACAAATCAAACATGGTAGAAGTCAGGAATACGAAACAAATGGTCAGGATTTAAGTCACAGCAGCTGCAGCCCCACCTCTTCCTTACATGAAAGTATCACATGTTAAATGTTTGGTTTTGTTGTTTTGTTTTGTTTTTTAAATAAAGTGTTTATTCTGAAAACAGACTTCAGGGAAATAAAGGGAAAAGTAAAACTCACAAACAAAAAAGCATGTTAGCAGATGTGGTCAAATATACAAATTAAAGCCAGACGTGTCTCACACATAATGAGAACTGTCAATAGATCATGCCCAGTTTCTCTATAGAGTTTTATATATTCCAATGTTTTCAGCCACCACTTAAATGACACGGGGGAAAAAAAAAATTATGCTTAGAATTACTTGTAATATATGAAAGCAAAGTCACTAAAAGATTGCATGAGGCTGTGGCATTACTCCAGAATAATACTTCTCAAGCATACTGTTGCTACTTACAGACCTAGATATCTTCTTTTATTCACTGGTGAGATCTCTATGTGGGAACTCATAAAGAAGGAGTTTTGCAGATGTTAAATTAATCTCAGCTTTTATTCTGGATACAAAGTACATACACTTATATGCACACAGGCTTTTGAGTAACACTAGTCCCTTATGTGGTGAGCTCTAAAAGCAGTGGTGTTAAAGTAACAGGGCACGGCCAGTGCTTCAGCAGCATTTCAGTTATTTAATACTAACTCCTGAAATAAAACTAAGCACTAGATTTAATGAGATTATGTGCCCTCATACATCACCTGTTGACATACCACGTTTCAAAGGAAAACTTTCTAATGGTAAGACATACTACAAAAGTAACTACACAAAAACCTCTAACTCTAACAGTGAGCACGGCTTACCTTTTCTAATAAGTAATTATTGATATGCCCACCTATCGGGTCTCCTTTAAAATCAAAGTTGATATCCATGTATTTTCCAAACCTGCTGGAATTGTCATTACGGTTTGTTTTGGCATTGCCAAAGGCCTCTAACACACAGTTGGATTTCAGCAGTATGTTCTTCACTCTGTAGTACAGACAAATGGAAAAGAGAACAGGGTAAGTCCAGACTTGTATACTCAAACCATGAAATTTTTTTTCACGGGCATTTATTTCTCCAGAAGAATTTAGTAACAGCAGAGATGCTCTTTGATGACATATTTGGGCAGATGTGTATGACATTAGCAATCCCCTGGGAAATCAGCCGGGAGCTTTCGGCAATGTTCCTCGGAGCCAAGAAAATGCAAACCAAAGACCAGATCCTCCCACTGAAAATAGCATCAAAAATTCAGTTCCTTTCACATATAAAAGTTTTTTAAACCAATTTCTTGAACTCTTTTGCAAGACATCTGCAAAATTTTTGTCGGGGTAGGTATTCAGCAAAAAGCCACATTCTTCGCTCAAAAACTATTACTCGAGGACCAACAGGCACATTTTCCACATGCAAGCCCGAAAGGTCATGAAATACGTTCTTTGCACTCAACATGCTATTCTAACATACACATATTTCAGGCAATTTGCCACAGGAAACATGATTTCTAGATACTGCTTTTATTTTGAAAGTTCAAACAAAATTTATGCTTAGGATCACTTGGAATATATAAAAACAAAGCTACTAAAAGATCACACTTTCAAAATAAATTTTTCTACATGTTTTTAGCAATCAATATTGCAAAATTCCCAGGGTAAAAGTAGTATGTGAAGAAGTTCAGTAAATGTTGTGAAGATCAGCCTGTAGCTAGTATAAGAGGCCATCTAATAACATAGTGCTATACAGTCCACAGACAGACATCCATAAACAAAACAATTTCAGTTATTTTTCTACAAAGCCCTTACCTTTCCACTTCAGCCCTCTGACCAGGGTTGGTAATGGCTGCTATGTACTGCATAATATATTTACTGGCCTCAGTTTTCCCAGCCCCGCTTTCACCTGAGGGCACAAATACAAAGGTGACACAACAGATCAAAAAAAGCAAAGCAAATCACTGAACAGTGTATCTCAATTCTACCCCAACAGGGTTTGGGGGTTTTGTTAAAGTTTTTTTTAAAGCAATCTTATTTGTGTGCACTTTGAACGTTTTCTATATATAGCCATAACTCTGCCTGGTTGTTGCTGCTATGCTGACTCAGAAGCAGTTACGATGTCAGATCTCACAGGTTGGTAAAAGGCCTGGCACACAGAGGATCAAAAGGAATATTGTTAGAGGAGAAAGACTGGCATGCAGAGGCTCAGCTAGCAGCAGTGCCGGGAACTGCAGTACAAGAGGCTACTGTTCAGCACACCATCTCGGGTCTCTCCCTTTTCAGAGCTGCTAAAGCACGGGAACATCAAGGAAACGAAGTGCCAGGATCCAGATAGCAACCGTTCATGGTACAAGCCCTGTTCCCACTGTTAGAGCCACGACAAGCAATCAGACCAGCCATCAAAACAGAGAACAAAACATTGGCCAGTCATCTAAGGGGCAAAAATCAGCAGTTCTAGAAAGAGAGACAGGACCCCTGTTCTCACTAATCTCCATTCACACAGGCAGAGCAAGCAAAGGTTTAAATTATCACTTGGCACGCACAGATTAAGCTAATGACTGACACCAGCTCTTGAATTAGATAAGAAATAATTGCCAAGGTCTCCACACACAGATTCAAATGCAAATAAACAGTTTTAAGATTAATGAAGCTTTCTTTTATAAAACGCTGTCATTAGCCAAATCATTTTTTGTCTGCCTAGAATTTTACAAAGATCAAGTGTCCATCATAATGCAAAGCTCTTTCAGCTTACCTGATATTACAATACAGGTGTCTTTAGATCTCCTCTTCATTGCTTTGTAAGCAGCATCAGCAATTGCAAAGAGGTGAGGAGGCCTCTCGTACAATTCCCTTCCTTTGTACTGCTCAATCATGTCACGCCCATAGATGTTCAAGTTTTTGTAAGGATTCATGGAAACGACCACCTCCCCAATAAATGTATAAATCCGTCCTTTTTCAAACCTACCCAGGATGAGACAAAAGGAAGAAAGGGAGTTAGTCATACATAGAGATTCAGAATATGTCTTTCAAGCTAGTTGCCCATTTCATCAGGTGAACTCTTCAATTCATCATTGCACTGAAACATTATAATTAAACATTGACTACAGACATTATGTGACCAGCGTGGCCCGGATGGCATGTTAGCATAGAGACCTGATGTTAAAAGGACTAAGAACTAGGGGTAGCTTTGAATCCTGCCACCTACAAAGAAAATTTCTACTGCTATTTCACTTACCGATGCATGGCCAACCAGATTACTGAGGTACAAACACCAACTGTATTTCTGAGTATAGCAAACTTTTGCTTTGCTGATGCAATCAAGCCCGCTGTCTGCATATTCAGATATTTCTGTTGCCATTAACATGCTGCCAGAAATAAATGTTTCTAAGAAATTTTTTATCAACATTTAAGTTAATATCATTTACTGTTTCTACAATTGACAATAAGTAAACATGTGTTTGTGGCGATCTTATATAATCTGCTTCATAAAGGGGATTTAAAGGCAAATTCTTTTTCCACATTCTACAGCTGTCCATAACCCAGCGCAAGGCAGAGAAGCACAAGTTTTGAAGCCACTCAGAGGTCTAATCACATTTGCAAGAAAGTAAACAAAGATACAAGCCAAGAAGCAAATTACAGCCTTTCAGCTTTAGCAATTAGCTTCCACTCCATCCTTTTTGATAGATGGCACTTTGATATCATTACTGCTGCTAAACCAGAAGTGAAAGCTTTTTAAGAATGTGTGAAAAAAGCCCTAACCTACACCTTTCCTAAAGCCTACCTGGTCCTTAGTATTCTTTCTGCAAGCAAAACAGAAAATAAGTTTGTCGAAAAAAAAAAAAAAATAAAGTGTTTAAGTTAAAAGATGTTTCCAAAGAAATTAATATTTTATCAAAAGTCATCTAGCAGAAGAGCACAGAAGGAATTGCAGATTAACAGCTGAAGAATTCATACAGCATTTGCTCCTCAGGAGGAGAGAGGATGACAACAGATTCAGACATCAACACGCAAACTATGGCATTTCTACCACCAAATATCTGTCTGCACCCTGTATTTAGATCTTGCAACATTAGATGGCACCATAACACCTCTATGGAGTACAAGGGCCTTCCTAATCCTTGATGGACTCCGGCGCAAATTCTAGCATTACTTTATTGAATTTATTACCACCCCCACGTGGTGACATGCTTGACATTTTCTATTGTTCATTTGAGAATTTTCTGCAGCATCTTGGCAGTGTTAGTTTTTAGCAGGTGTAATAAAACTCAAGAAATATAATCTAGCAACTGGCGTTCCACTTTCTAAAAGTGATTTTTGCCTCTAATTCCAGCTTCATCCAGAAATACTTGACCAAAATACACAAGAATTGAGAAACGTCTTTTAATTCCTGCATTCAGTTTTAACTGAAGGGAGTCTTGATATTCATTTCCCAAAATATTAGTGAGCTTAAAAGGCAAAGATATTTTATATTTTAGAGATATGTATTGTTTGAAAGCTACCAAAAATGTTTTAGGAAAGGTAAGGCCATCATAATTAGCAATACCAACTGCAGCTCAGCAGCTAATGATCACAACAAAAATTATGGGTAATGCATAGGCAACAAAACGAAGCAACTGGTACACAAGTCTGGTATGAAATACAGAATCACAGCCTAATTCTTAAGTCAGACTTTTAGGTACACAGGAAGCCTCACACGCTCAGTCCTTGTCATTTGCTGTCCCTAATTTTAATTCTTTGAAGCACAAAGCTGCTGGCAATCATGGTATTTAGAAGATACCAAGTAGGCAGAAGACACCCATGGGTGCAGAGATCACACGACGCTGCTCATCTTCTGCCCTCTCAGGAGCACATGAGGGACTCTACATATACATAGGAGAGCTTAAGAAAAACCAAGCACACACAGCACTGTTTCTATTAAGGAGATCAAATCACACTTGGACATACATAAGTAATGGAAACCATTACAAGGCCATCAAAATCAGCAGAATCCTTCCCATCTTTTTGGAGATCCAAAAAAGGCAAGTTGCCCAGTGGAGAACCTACAAATTGCTCTCCAAAAGTCACTGCACAGCAGGCACACAACCATTGCTGAAGGTGCTAGTAATGATAAAAATAAAGATACAGCAGTTTCTGGATGAGGTGTTAAGTCCTAGCATAATGCCAGATGCATGGCTGAAGCATTCATGGTCAGCACAGAGAGATTAAGGGGGTTTGTTTTAGCTGCTGAGAAGAAAGGGAGAAGAAAAAAAAAAGGACATCCCTACTGAAGTGCTGTGCCAAGTCACCATCACAGTACCCAATACTTTGACCTCTTCCTTAAGTAATGAATTATGTAAACTTTCAGTAGCAGAGCACAGTTTAAGTTTCCTCCCTTGACAGTCGAGTGTCCCCGACTGCCTCCTAGGCAGAACCTACAGATTTGCCTCTGCCAGGCAGCCCACGGCAGAGCCCGGCCCTCCGGGGAGCCCCTCGCGTGGCCGTGGAGCTGTTACAGCTCTGACACACACAGCTCCTGGACATACCGCCTGCTCGCTTCCTCCACAGCTCCGGGCTTAGACAACAGGTCTCACATTTGGCCCCAAAGTCAAGTTTTAGAAGGTTTTACTAGACTCCGATGAGTTGTGTCTTCAATCTCTGGGGCAAAAGGCAGATGGAGATGAGGGAGAAGGATCCATCTCCAGGCTTAACAGCTGGGGATCTCTCAAGCTTGGTTTTACGATACAGAGTTTATGAACAACTGACATCCCCATTTACCTCTCTGTTGTTCCTTCACTTCGTAGCACCAGAGTTAAAATTCCAGAGCTATGCTTACATGTTCCTAAAAGGAGCTGTCGCTCCTCACCCCCTCCTTGCTGATAAAGCCTCTTTTCATCAGACAGTGCAGCTCAGCACAGCAGCAGGCCAAGAACAGCAGTGGCTGTTTTCCTAGCTGCATTGCTTCGGTGTGAGAGTCGTGGTTTTCCTTGCCCAAGAACTAGTCATGAAAACTTAAGAAAACAACCAACGACAGCAGTCCAAACTGGGAGGAACAAGCTGTGTTAAATTCACCATTCTGCAAGGCAAGGTCACAAAACCAGACAACAAAGTTATCCCGTGCTTTTCAGAAAGGGTCATCAATTGGGGCAATGCACCCCATCAAGGGAAAGCTCATTAACATAAAGGATGGTGTGATTATTTCAGTAGAAAGCATGTAACACATAGGAGTTGATTTTTGTTATTAAAACCAATTTGCAGCACACTTGCTAAAAGGAACCTCTGTACCCAGTCCAGGGGGTTGGCACCCCCACAGTCAAGCCTCAGTTTGTGCGTATCATGAAAATCACACCACCTTGTGTTGCAACTTGGAGGAGAAAAGATTTCTCCACAATGATGCTGTTTGAATAGTTTCTGTATCACTGTCTTCTGAATTTTCCACTTATTATTCTGGCATCTGAAATCTAGCTGAGCAGCCAAAAAGAAAGTCACAATATTTAATCCTTGTGTGTTATTTTGATGAAGAACATCAGCTCTTTCATGAGAAGTTTTTATACTTGTTTTTATTACCTTGTTAAAACATCGATTGATAGTGAGAAAATATAAACCAGCAGGTCACAGAACATTAATCATTTAAAGGAATAGAAATTATTGTCTAGGAAAGAAGACTGCCAGGGCAAGTCTTACTCTGTTTTGTAGTTTTTATTTTTATGCAGTTGAAAAAAAATGCATCCTCAAGTCCAGACATCCTATGTTCACATCCAATTACCATTGGAAAATACACTGCAGAAATCAGAAAACTGAAGCAGAAATCTTCACCACCAGAGAGCACTCACATTTAGGATTTCTCCCACCTGACAAACACTCCAGTCAAAAATAAAACTGTTCTTACCGAGGAAATGATGCAACTTCAAATGCACTCAGTACAAATAAAGAAAAGAGTTAGTTGGCAAGACTTGGAACCCATACTCCAAAACAACATCTGCAGAATGCAGACTGTTAAACAAAGGCACCCTACCATGCAATCGCCACGCCAAATGCTGCAATTCAAATTATAAAGGGAATTTCTAATTAATCATTTACATGGTAACTCCTCTGTACTGAAAGATAAACAGAAACTCCTCAGGATCACAGACAGCAGGCAGCACTCTGCAAGCTTATTGCTATTTCTAGAATCCAGCATAATTTCTGAGATAACCTCTGCCAGGTACGAGGGGATCAGTTTGCAGACAGGCTGGGCTTCGCTGGGGTGTGAAACGGCTCTTCTGAAACACACTTTGCCAGCCTCTCCCTCCACCCGTCTAATATCTGAGGAGCAGAGCAACTGCTGGAAAAATCATGTCACCAGTTGTCTCATTTTCTGTTACTTTAAGAGAGCTGAAGTTTTGCTTTTGGTATTATAGATCATTTTCTCCTCGGAAAAGACTTTCTCCCATCTGGAACTACTCCTTTCTCACCACTGATCACAGATGGACATCATATTCTGCTTTACACACATGCAGACGCACTAAAGCGTTCCTGCATTAGCAGGTGCTCAGTAAAGCAGCTTGGTCTCAACCTCTTCCTGCTCCCTGATGCTACACAGATGCTCCAGAAACAGAGCATCTTCATGACAAGAAGTCACAACACAGCCATCAACTGAAGACCAACTTTCGGTTTAATTGTACAGCAATGGCTTAAAGTAAAAGAAACGTCAACAAAAAAAATCAAAAGCAAATAATTCAGGCCAGGGAGCGCTACAGATGCATCAGCCTGTACTAGTCAACAGCTAACCTAGTACCTCTGAAGGTTAGAAGAATAAAAGCTGATGGTTTCAAACTATTAGCTATTTCCAACCTACTCATTAACTCCAAAGCACTGCTGCTTCTTCTTCCTTCCTCCTTTGCGCACGGGAAGAAGAATGACCTAGCAGTTGCACACCTCTCTGGCATGCAGAAGAGGGACAAGTCCTTCTCCTGTTGCAAACACCCCATGCGATCATAGTGATT